CCATCAGTCTGTTGTTTTCTCCTCCAGATTGTTTATCCTGCCTATCTTATCTAAACAGACCTGCAGAGAGAATAATATGCACAAAAACAAGACAGAGCAAAAGAAAGCAACAAAAGAAAACAAAACAACCAGCTAATGACCAAAGAAAGAAAAGCCTGTAAATAGCTCAAGGTTTGTTGACCTTTAGGAATGTTTTCGGTCGAGTCTGATGGGGTGCCACGCCCTGACCCCAAAGTCTAATTTTGGTATTCCCTTGGGACTTCCTTGCTCTGCTCCCCTTGCTGTTCTGTTGCACACCCTATAGTGTTTTGCCTCGATGTGGTGGGGTCAGATCCGGGCACAATTCCCACACTGTCGCCAGTGTTGTCCCCTGTAGGGCTATGGATCAGTGAGGGATGTCGTGCCTTCTGGTGGGGCCGGCCATACGGTCCTCTCTGTGCACTGGCCGCTCTGAGCAGGGATTTCATCCTCAGGGATTGGTGGGCAGGATGTGCTCCACTCTCTCTCCCTCCCCTTCAATTGCTCCTGTGTGCTCTGCTCAGACATGTCCCGCTCCCGGAGCTGTAGTTCAGTGCTGTTCTCTGAAATAAATTCTTCTGTGGGGAAGGGCAGCTGTCCACATAGTTAGGATTGGGGCTAGCCCCTCAGTGTGGTCATCCTTTTGTTAATCTCCAGCTTTATAGCGTGGTGATCTGAGAAAGATGTCTGAATAATCTCTAAGCTGATTGGCTGGGCTGAGTCCCCTGCCCACGCTGGGAGCCAATAATGGACTGAGAGTGGGAAGGTGGGCGGGTCCCAAATTGAAGCTGGAGGGTGGTGGTCGAGGAGATGATAGGAGGCCAACATCAGCAAGGGCAACCGGTCGTCACGATTCCCATCCCTCTGGTGGTCCTGTGCCACAGGAGGAAGCCCTGTGCCCGTGACACAGATGCCAGAATCGAAGGGCATGTGCATGTTGCATCTGGCATAACCCATTCCCCTTGAGTGGATTTTGACTCAGATCAGGGTTTCCAAGACTGTGAACCTTTCGGTGAGCAGACGGATCCCACTTTCTCCTGCAGAACGGCTGATGATGGGTTTGAACCACCCACCACGTGGCGAGCAGCCCAACCCCTAAGCCACTGTGCCACTGGGGATTCTTGTGCTGAGTGTGGTGCCCATTACACCCATGCGATGACGAAGGTGATATCGCTGCGTAGATTACAGATGAGCCAATGGAGGGGAGGAAAGATTTAATAACTTGTCTAGATTACGCAGGGGCCTGGGGGTTGGGGGGAGTGGCTAAGGGCTCAGCTGAGAATGTAAAGGTCTGTGCTTCACACCCACCAGCTGCCCAGCCCACAAGAACAAGGTGAGGGAGTCTGCCCCAGGAAGAGGGCAGCCCCAGAAACCCGAAGGGGCAGTGCTACTCTGTCCTCCGGGGTTTGCTAAGTCGAACCCTGCTCAGTGGGATTTGAACTCCGCAGGTATGGCTTCAGCTCCTTGCTGGAGGCCTTGCCTCTCCCCCGTGAGACCAGTTCGTCAACCAAGCTTCCAGAACCTCAGCCTTCTCTTCAGGCCGGTAGTCATTCCATGGTCAACCTCCCAGGCTTGTTGTAAGAACGGACCCTGGCACTGATGCTAAATCGAACAAGGCTCATGTGGCCAGTTAGTGGATCGGTCCTGGGGAGGTGGGCACGAGCCAATGTTATTCCTGGAGTGTGTGGAACAAAAATCAACCAACCTCAATGTTCTGGAGTGGACCCTAAGCTCACGGCGCCCCCATGTGTGTCGGAGGACTGCAGGGTCGCAGTGGCTGCTTTTCAGAAGCAGAGGGCGAGCCCCTTCCTGAGAGGTGCTGCGGACTGATGTACCCGCCAGCGTTTCAGTTCATCGGAGGTGTGTAATGTCTGTACCGCGCAAAGACGGCTCTATTTTGCAACAATGTGATACCCACATTTGAGGGATGATTTTTGTCTTGAGAGGCATTTGGTTGGTTCCTGCCTCAGTATTCCGTGCTTCTGGGAACAGAAATACCGTAAGGAGGTGGGTTTTACAAACACAAAGTTATTCTCTTACTGTAAGTTCACATTCATAGTGTCAGAGTGTGAGTTTAAGGGAAACTCGCTCGCTCGCTCTGGGCTCTGGAGGAAGCTCGTCTCCTTTCAACATCAGTGGCCTGGTTTTCCAGACAGATGTCCATGTGTACCGACATCAATCTTCCCCGGCGTCTAGCAGTTCCCAGCACGGGGGCCTGTGGCCAGAGGACACACACTGCTCCTAGCTTCTTTCTTGGTGTTACTCATACGTGGCCTCCTCTGCCTCTGCTAGATTCCCTCCCTCTTATCTCTCGTAGATAAGGCGTTACAGGCCACACCCCAGGAGAAACTCCCACACCAGTGTTACAGTTCACCCAAATCTTAGAAAGGATGGCCAGCTCCTGTCACATCACCTCAAGAAGGGGCAGGGACCACACTGTGACATGACTGCCCAACCAGAGAGCAGGGCCCAGCCAAGGTGCCTGTGGGGGACACCATCCAATCCAGGTCAGTTATCTGGATGTGAGTCTGCAAGGGTTAATCAAGCAAGCACGGAGAATGTTGTCAGAGTGATTTGCAGACCCCGAGCAGTGACTTTTTCTTCACTGCTCAGAAGGGACAAAGGCTGCGCTTTTCCTGGACCTTATCAGGCTCCTCATCCTAAACTTTATAGGGCGCTATTAGTCACAGCCATGGGGGCTGTCAGCTCCTTTCTTGCCTTCACTTGTACCAGCTGGACGAGCCCCTGGACAGGCCAGCAGGCCGGCCAACTGTCGTCTGACCCATGCTCTAAGATGTGGCCATAGAAGCATTGGGAAAGACAGGCCAGCCTCAGGACAGGACAGGGCTGTGCAGGGGTTCATCTCAGAAACCAGACCCTTCTAGGGAAGGCTTCAGAGGGACAGAGTTGGTTTCAGAAGGGAGAGTCAGGTGAACTTCAGAGGTGTGGAGGGAGGAGATGGCTCCCTCCCACATGTGCTCCAGACTGTGCACCTGAGCTACA